GACATTCAGAGGAGAAATGGGGGCCAGGAAGCAGCTTAGCAGTAATGCAGCTGGACCCACATGGGACAGGTCCCAGGTCCGTATTCTGGAACCTCCCTGAGCACTGTGGGCATGTGCAAGCCCTTGATCCAGGCCAGCAGGGCCTGGAGATGGATCTAGCATGAAGACCCTGTTAGGGGTGTGCCTCTCTCCCCCTCTCTCTCTACACCTGTTTCTCTTGTAGAAGAAATAAACTTTTTTTTTTTTTGAGATTTTTTTTTTTTACTATAGGGCACGTGCGCTCGCCAGACAGAGACAGACAGAGAGACAGAAAGCGAGAAATCACCCCCCCCCGGGGGGATGGTCACGCCGCAATCCCTTCTCTTCCATTCTCCTCTCGGGATCTTGGGCACGTACGCACATGCACCCGGCATGAGTTTTAAGCCACCAGGTCCAGGATGAACCGTGGGAGTCCAGCGACATAGCCATTACACTAACTGCTGGTTCCCAAGAAATAAACTTTTAAAAAGGAGGAGAAATGGCTGGCAGAAATGAGGTGCAGATGGGGAGGAAGGAAGACATCCAGAAACATGAGACATCATAGACACAAAAGAGAAGGGAAACAGTTAATACTGGTGTTGGTATCTATGCGTGCTCCTGATGGAGATCAGGAGAGAGCTGGCCAGTATTACAGGAAAACAAGCAGAGGGTACTTTGACTAACAGGATGTCAACCTCCATAGGTCTGCTTAGGCTTTTTTGGAGACCATCAGATGGCGAAATGGCTACATTGCTGGACTCCCATGTAGTCAACCATGGTTCAAGTCCTGGACTCGGTGGCTTAAAACTCATGTGCGTGCATGCCCAAAATCCAAAGAGAAGACAGGAGGAAAAGGGATTGCATTGTGGCCGTCCCCCAAGGGGAGGGGGGTATTTCTCGCTTTCTGTCTCTCGGTCTATCTCTATCTCTCCAGAAAGCACATGCACCCTATAGCAAAAATATCTCTCTCTCAAAAAAAAAAAAAAAAACAAAAAATATCCCCCCCAAAAAAAAAAAAAAAAAAAAAAAGACTTTATGAATCCTGATATATCTGTCTTCCCCTCCCTCTCCAGAACAAAATCCAAGGTATCGTCTTTGATTTTGTTACTCAACAAGCCTTTGACATTGTTATCATGATGCTCATCTGCCTTAACATGGTGACAATGATGGTGGAGACAGATACTCAGAGCAAGCAGATGGAGAACATCCTCTACTGGATTAATCTGGTCTTCGTCATCTTCTTCACCTGTGAGTGTGTGCTCAAAATGTTTGCCTTGCGGCACTACTACTTCACCATCGGCTGGAACATCTTTGACTTCGTGGTAGTCATCCTCTCCATTGTGGGTGAGTGGGATGGGCGTGGTGAGTGGTAGGGAGGGGAAAGGTACCTGACTGGCCTTACGGATGAGATTCTTGGAGAGCAACAAATTACACAGATCTGAGTGCAGGTAGGTTCCCCTCAGAGCTTGAGCTCATGTGTGCCCCTAAGTCAACCCAGAGGCCTGCCCAGCAGGTTTTGTGGTCAGGGAGTTTATACCGAGTATTCATAGTAGTTATGGATTATAAATTCCCTAGCTCAGAAATAAAAGATTAGATTTGGTTCTTATTTTCAAAGATTTTCAAGTTTAACAGGAAAAGTAAAGAAACTTGTTATTAAATATATATATGGCTACACTAGAAGTGTGAAATGAAAGACGGGAATGGCAGATTGTTACTTGAGTATAACGATATTGGTAAACTTCGGGGCTAGTTGTGCTGTAGTTGATGCTGGTGCTCATTTTCTGGGATTCTGAGATCACGTGCTGTTTGCGAGTTTCTTCACCTGTGTTATTTCACCTGACCTCATGATAGCCCAGGAAGCAGGCTGTTTTATTATTTTCACTCTGTAGATGGACAGAGTCACTCAACTAGGAACTGGGAACTAGGCAGAGGCAGAACTCCATTTGGTCCCCAAGTCCTTGTGTTTTAATAGTGACTATGTGCATTTTGCTCAAACCTAAAAGGGTAGAAGGGGTGATGTCCTTGCAGGCAGAAAGAAATGCTACCCTATTGATTGCCCTCCTAAAACGTTTCCTTGCCTTCCTGATGATATCTCAAATGGTGAAACTCTGCCTTGGTTCCAGGTAGGTTTGCTTTACTCGTACTAGGAGAGAGTTCTTACTACCCATGGGAGCCAACACCAGAGCTCCAGAGGCCAGGCTAGGAGTAGCAATGTAGTGACTAAGGGTATGACAGGTCGCTGGCCTTCCCCTGGCACATACCAGCCTCTAGTTCTGTCCTCCAGAGTAGCATGTCCAAAAGTGTGTTGATATGTGGAACATTAATCCCATATTTATCTCAGACTTCTCCCCAAGAAAAGGATTCTGTGAAATGACATCAGGTAACACTGTACATTGAGTTTCTCTTTAGAGGGTCACACAAAGATAGTAGCCTACTGAAGTCTCGCAGAAGTCCTGCAGTAAAGATCTGTTTAACATGCTCTACCACCTTTATTCGATCACAACACCCCTCTTTTTACCAAGTAATAATAATGGTATCTCACATTTACTGGAACGTACTATACTGTATGCCTATCACCTTCTAAGTGCTTTACATGTGCTGAAGTATCATGAAGAACTGGGGCACAGAGAGGTTGCTGAGACAAATGGCAAATAAGTGAACAAGTGGAGATTCCCCCTAGTCCACGAGACACTGGACAATGTTGACCTTGTCTACTGTTGTTGAACTTCCTCTGTCTACCCATCATTGAGTGGGATAGAAAGTCCACAGATCAAATCATGCCCTCTGTTCTCTAACGGTACTCTAAAATAAAGATGATGGAGGGGCCAACAGGTGGCATGGTGCTTAAGGTGCTGTACTCCCACATGGCTGACCGCAGTTCGAGTCCCAGACCTAGTTGCTAGCTTTTTCACTTTCCCTGTCTTTCAGTCCCTGGTGGGCACATGTGCCCTATAGCAAATTAAATAATAATAAATAAAATGAAATAATTATTCTTTAAAAAGATGACTTAGTGATACTCTGATAATTGGGATTTTTATCAAATATCATTAATTGGTTCAGGAAGAAAAGTATACAAATTATCTCTTTTTTTAAAGAATTTTTTTAACATTTATTTATGTATTCATTTATTCATTTATTTTAATTTGACCAGACAGGGACAGAGAGAGAGAGAGAGAGAGAGAGAGAGAGAGAGAAAGGGAAAGTGAGAAAGCAAGCTGCCAGGTCTGGGACTTGAACTGTGGTCAGCCATGTGAGTCTCCAGAACCCCTAACCACCACATCATCTGCTGGCTCCAATTATCTCTTTTTTTAAAAAAAAATAAATAAATAAGGTTATTGGAAGTCAGCAGGTAGGATGGTGGCTAAAGGTGCTGGACTCTAACATGGCTGTCCATGGTTTGAGTCCCAGACCTGGTGGCTTGCCTTCTCGCTTTCTCTCTCTCTGGCTCTCTCCAGTCAAATAATAATAATAATAATAATAGAATTAAATAAAATAATTCTTTAAAAAGTTTATCGATTGGGCCAGCCTATGGCATGGTGGTTGAGGTAGCTGGATCCCACATAGCTACTAACTGCACAATTCGAGTCCCAGACCCTGAGACTTGAGAAACACACTGGTGCATGTGTGTGCATGCCCAAAATCCTGAGAGGAGAGTGGAGGAGAAGGGGTTGCAGTGTGGCCATCCTCCCTGAGGGGTGATTTTCTCTTTCTCTCTTTCTCCATCTCTCTCCAGCCAGCACACATGTTCTATAGTAGACATTTCTTTTTAAAGTTTATTGATTGAGAGAGGGGACAGGAACCTCCAATAGGGTCCCATCACACCATGATTAAAACCCCAGTCCTTTAGCTACCCAGGATCCTGGGCCTGTTCAGATCAACCTAAAATCCATACCTTGACATTTCCCATATGGTTCCAGAATTGCCCAGTGGTGCCCCACCACCTGAGCCACTGAGACTAGGCTGAAGTTATCTTTTTTAATTAAGAGAAGTTAGAGTAAAACCTGCCCTGGCATCACCTAGAGTACCCCGTAAATGGCTTCCCACTGCCTGGATTGCTATATGCCCCATTCTTTCCATTTCTGTGGGCACAGATGCACATTCATACTTCAGCACCTTACTCAGACATCATCTCTCTGAAGCTTTATTTGCCCAGGTGTTATACGCAGGTGTTACATACTATATTACCTCACTTTTTTTAAAAGAATTATCTTATTTATCTTTATTTATTATTATTATTATTTTCCAGCTTGATTACAGATGCAAAGAGAGAGAGAGAGAGAAAGTAAGCCACCAGGTCTGGGACTTGAACCGCAGTTGGCCATGTGGAGTCCAGTGCCCTTAACCATCACGCCACCTGCCAGCCCCTAAAGTACCTCACTTCTTATGGTCACTGACTCTGACATTAAAATTGAGATAGAAAGAAGAGAGCTAGGAAAATATCTTGAGGGCAAAATTTTCTTGTAAGCTCGAACATCCCATGAGATTCTAGCTCCTGAAGAGGCCCCAGGAGGTTATCTGGCTCACTTTCCATATCAGCATCCTGCCCCTTCCTGAAAGCTGAGTCTTTCCCAGCTTAAAACTTAAAGCCTTTGAATAAAGAGTTTTGATACAGTTAACTGCCCCAATATTTACGAATTCATATGGTTTGGAGACACTTCCTTAGTTAATTAAATCCCTCACGTTGGTTAAACCTCATCTTGTCTCGTTGGGTTCTGGAGAGCAAGAGAGGGCACTGAATGAAGAGAGCATGTCAACACTTTCCCTTTAGCTGTCATTTCTCAGCCTTGCTTCTAATGTTCATTTCCCAACCTTTTCATCTCCTCTTCCTCTGTGGACCTTTATTGAGCTCCCCTTGTTGTTCTCTAGTTTTAAAAGACAAATAGTCAGTTGAGGTAGACCCATGGATAAATGTAAATAGAAAAAGGCCCTCCAGGGTGGTTAAGGCCTGGTGGTTAAAGCAGCCCTTACCAAATGGCCAACCCTTCGGTTTGAGTTCTGAACTCAGCAACTTGAAAACACACTGGGCACATGTACGCATGTCCCCCAAATCCCACCAGGCTGGCTCAATGGAGGAGAAGGGATTACAGTGTGACCACTCTCAAAGGGGGCAGGGCATGCTTGCTCCATTTCCCTCTCTCTCTGTCTCTGTGTCTTTCTCTGGTGAGTACACATGCCCTCTGACAAAATTATTTTTTAAATACAAGGAAAAGACTCTATGATGTATATATTTTTATCCTCTCCTTTTTATTTTATTTTTTGCTAGAGGGCATGTGTGCTTGCCAGAGAGAGGGAAAGCGAGAAGGTATCTCCCAGCGTGGGGATGGCCACAACACAATCCCTTCTCTATTCTCTCAGGATTTGGGGCACACATGCACACACACATACCCAGCATGTCCTTTAAGTCATCTGATCTGGGACTCAAACCAAGCAGTTGGCCATGTGGGATTGAACCACTTACCCACCATACCACTAACTGTCTTCACCCTCTACTTTCATAGCCTTGACATGTTATTATTTTTTTAAGAAACTATCTTTGCTATAGGGCATGTGTGCTCACCAGAGAGACAGAGAAAGAGGGACAGAAAGGAAGAAATCACCCCCCCAGGGGGGGATGGCTACACCTCGGTCTCTTCTCCTCCATCTCCTCTTGGGATCTTGGGCACATACACACACCCCTGGCAGGAGTTTCAAGCCACTGGATCTGGAACTCAAACCACAGTCAACTATGTGGGAGTCCCACGATGTAACCATTACACCATCTGCCGTCCCCAGCCTTGGCATTTTTACCTGCTGATACTGGTTTCTGAATTCTGGCTTTCAGCATACAATCTAGAAGCTCTGAGGTGACAGTTACTCCCGAGAGTTCCCTTTAGTTTTATAGGCTAGTCTGGTAGAGTAGGGAGGTAGGGCAATGAGAAACTAAAGATGTTTTTTCAGAGCCAAAAAGATACTTTAAAAATTGGTGGCATTGGGGACCAGCATGTGGTGTGGTGGTTGGAGCGCTGGATTACCATATGGTCGACCACAGTTTGAGTCCCAGACCTGGCGGCTTGCTTTCTCACTTTCTTTCACTCTCCCTCTCACTTTCTCCCTCTCTCTTTCTAGTTAAAGTTTAAAATAATAATAATAAATAAAATCAAATAACTCTTAAAGGGCTTGCTTTCTCACTTTCTTGTGATTAAGGGCACAGGAATCCCACACGGTTGACTGCGGTTTGAGTCCCAGACCTGGCGGCTTGCTTTCTCACTTTCTTTCACTCTCCCTCTCACTTTCTCCCTCTCTCGTCAAAATAATATAAATAAAGTCTAATAATTATTTTTATAAAACTCTTGAAATAAAATTGGTGGCATCATCAGAATGACTAAGACATCAAAGTCTGAAGGTAGCAAAGTCAGGGGTGGAGTTGGGCCTCTCATTCATTGTTTGTGGCTGTAGAAGTTTGAAGCAATTGTGAGGGGCATTCTGTAACACTTAGGATAATTGTATGTGCACAGATCTGGGAAGCGAACTGTCCTGTGTAGGAAAATATAAATGAGGACCTGTTCATAGAAGGGAGTGCCATCCGATTGTTAGTATTTGTCTAAAATTATTTTAACACAAGGGATCAATCTCACAAATGTAATGTAAATCTCAAAACTTAGAGTCCTAACCATGTTAGCGTGCACTGGCTGACCCTGCTACTCAGCAGGGTGATGTTACTTAGAGGTCTAAATTAATCTAAAAAGCTAGATATAGTACAGGCTGGCCCCATAGCACGGTGGTCAGGCACTGTGTTGGGAACTATATCCCACATGACTGACCACGGTTCAAATCCAGCAGCTTGAAAAACATGCTGAGCACATGATCATGTGCCCCAAATCCTGACAAGGTGGAGAAATGGAGGGAAAAGGATTGTGGCGTGATCATGTCCCATTAGGGGTGCTTTCTTTCTCTGTCCCTCTCTTCCTCTGGTGTACACATGCACCTTCTGGCAAACAAAGAAAGAAAAGGAGTATAGTTTTCTAACCGTAGTAGGATGCTATATATTATTTATAATTCATACACAATAAAATTAGAATACACTATGGGCCAGCTGCTAGCATACGAGGGAGTTAAGGCAGCTAGATCCAGTGGCCAACTGTGTAGTTCAAGTCCTGGACCTGGCGGCTTGGAAGACACACTGGGTGTGTGTGTGTGTGAGACCAAAAATCCCAAGAGAACAGAGGTGAAGGGATTGTGGCATAGCCACCCTCATCCCCCCCCCCACTTGGGGGGTTACTTTCTCATTTTCCCTCTGTCTCTCTTTCTGTCGCTCTCTGATGACACACTCACCCTATAGCAAATTAAAATTTAAAAAGACATACACTAGAATGATACACACTGTCTTCACGTTGTGGATGCTTCTAGGGATGAAGAGAGAGGAAGCAAATTTACTAAGATGGTGACGTCTTAAATCCCTATGTTAGGCACATAGGTATCTGTCTTATTGTTTTCTCTATGTTTCTATGTTTGAAACATGCAATTTTCTTAATTATGAACTTTGAGATTAAATAGGAAGGCACTTACTCTACAAAGCCCTTTGAACTTAAAGGTTCCACAGTGCCAGGCAAAAGAAATAAAGAGAAAGGGCGTCTCCAATCTCTATAACGTAACTTCTTCTATTCCTCTTCTTAGGAATGTTCCTGGCTGATATAATTGAAAAATACTTTGTTTCCCCAACTTTATTTCGAGTCATCCGATTGGCCCGTATTGGGCGCATCTTGCGTCTGATCAAAGGCGCCAAAGGGATTCGTACCCTGCTCTTTGCCTTAATGATGTCCTTGCCTGCCCTGTTCAACATCGGCCTTCTGCTCTTCCTGGTCATGTTCATCTTCTCCATTTTTGGGATGTCTAATTTTGCATATGTAAAGCACGAGGCTGGCATTGATGACATGTTCAACTTTGAGACATTTGGCAACAGCATGATCTGCCTGTTTCAGATCACAACATCAGCTGGCTGGGATGGCCTGCTGCTGCCCATCTTAAACCGTCCCCCTGACTGCAGTCTCGAAAAGGAACACCCAGGGAGTGGCTTTAAGGGAGACTGCGGGAACCCCTCAGTGGGCATCTTCTTCTTTGTCAGCTATATCATCATTTCCTTCCTAATCGTCGTCAACATGTACATTGCCATCATCTTAGAGAACTTCAGTGTAGCCACAGAGGAGAGTGCAGACCCTCTGAGCGAGGATGACTTTGAGACCTTCTATGAAATCTGGGAGAAGTTTGACCCTGATGCCACCCAATTCATTGAGTACTGTAAGCTGGCAGACTTTGCAGATGCCTTGGAGCATCCTCTGCGAGTGCCCAAGCCCAACACCATTGAGCTCATCGCCATGGATCTGCCCATGGTGAGCGGGGATCGCATCCACTGCTTGGACATCCTTTTTGCCTTCACCAAGCGGGTCCTGGGAGATAGCGGGGAGTTGGACATCCTGCGGCAGCAGATGGAGGAAAGGTTCGTGGCATCCAATCCTTCCAAAGTGTCTTACGAGCCAATCACGACCACGCTGCGGCGCAAGCAGGAGGAGGTGTCTGCAGTGGTCCTGCAGCGTGCCTACAGGGGACATTTGGCAAGGCGGGGCTTCATCTGCAAAAAGACAACTTCTAATAAGCTGGAGAATGGAGGCACGCACCGGGAGAAAAAAGAGAGCACCCCGTCTACAGCCTCCCTCCCATCCTATGACAGTGTGACTAAACCTGAAAAGGAGAAACAGCAACAGGAAGAGGAAGGAAGAAGGGAAAAAAAAAGACAAAAAGAGGTCAGAGAATCCAAGTGTTAGAGGAGAGCAAAAATTAAATACCATCCAGATTTAGAACTTGCAAGTAAAAGATTGTTTACAAACTTCCTGAATATTATCAATGCAGAACAGCTGTGGAGACACTCTAACCTGAAGATCTATACCAAACGTAGTCTGCTTACCATGTAACACGGTTGCATCTTGAGCAGTGACCTGCCAAGGGCAAAGGACCCTGCTCCCTGGACTCACCAGTTTTCTAATGCTTGGGCAGGTGGTTACTGCATGTTCCACATCAGTCAATGCAACTTAGGACAAAACCAACAGGATACAAAAACAGAGGAGAGGCTGCCGGGACCAGCATATTTCCGTTGCAGCCAAATGGATTTTATTTTTTCATTTTGTTGATTCTCAGAAGCAGAAAGCATCACTTTAAAAGTTTGTTTGTTCATGCAAACTATATTTGCATTCTTACATTAGTTAAGCTAAGCAGCAAAAAGAAACACACACACACACACACACACACACACACACTCACATTTAGCCCATGTCATTTAATTGTCAGTTTCTTTGACATAAATCGCATCTTCTCCACATGGGCTTCACGTGGTTTGGAGATGGGTGGGGGAAAACAATCAGGTTTCTTCAGGCTGAGGAGGACTTGCTCAGGCCAATTCCAAACATTGTGCTCGTTCAATGCGTAGAAATGATTTGCATGATGGCATGCCGTGATCAGAAGTCATGCATGAGATCCATACACCACAGGACACTACTAATCCTGTCCCCTGCACTGGGTCAGCCTCTGGACGGGACCCAGCCCTGCACCGTTCACTGTATATGGAGAAAATGGTAAGAGTTCTAGACCGGCTGCAATTCTTTATGAGTTCTTAGAAGTCTTTCATATACCCTCTGGGTAGGGAAACATGACCCACCAATTGACCAACCACCACCAACAAAAAACAAACCCAATCCAACAAGCAGATGGATCCGTTGTGTGTATATGTTTAACAGACACCTCTAACATACAGCCATTGTTGCACATTTTGGAAGATGAACTATTTAATGCTGCTCTGTGTCCAGTACATGGGGAGACTTTGATCCCAAATGGGTTGTACTATTAATGTCACTGTAAAACCAAATCTTAGGGCTAAAAAAAAAGTTCATTTGTATCTTGCAATATTTATGATGATTGTTTAGCCTTCATACTGGAGAACTGACACTTATTTGGGGTAGAGATAAAGTGCTATTCAGAGTAGCATGTTATCTCTAGGGGGTAATTTGGGAAACTTAAAACAACCTTTTGTTGGGGGTTTTGGGGTGCTCACTTCATTTAGTATCGTGTCCTTCTGCGTTGTGGCTTTCTTCAGGCTTGGGTCGATGAGGAGAGGGCTTTAGGTATTCTGAACTGGCCTCTCTCGTCTGTAGGGGGTTGTTGCAAGGTCACAAGCTCACACACTGCATGATTCCTCCTGCCTTCATCACTTTTTCCACCCAACAGGGCTTCCCTTACCCACTGAAGTGGGTGAGGGCAGCAGCATTGGGGTTATGGCTGCAGTTTGTTTCGTTTAGATTTTTCAGTTAGAATGGTAGTCACTGGTGGGACCTGAGTAGAAATGGAGCCGCCTCTGAACCAAGCCCACTTGGTTTCTTTACTGCACTGGTTTTCATGAGAAAGCAATTTAATATTCTTAGGATGTTCCAGCTTCCCTCAGCGCATTTCCTTCAGCCAGTTTTGCTGTCTGCTTAGCGACCAGCCCGTTGTCATGGGGGGGTGGGGGTGGCTTCTGGGGAAGCATCACATCTTCCATTCCATCTCCTGCTTTAGGGAAGACAGTTTTAGTCCAGGGGTTTCTCATCTGATGACTAGATTTCAAAGCCAAGATGCTGCAGTTGAATGCATGAGGAAGGCAATTCAAAAAGAGGAGAGACTTCAGCATATGAACCAAATCAAAATCAATTCTCCCTGAACCCTGCAATAGAGAGGGGAGGAAACCAACCCATAATCAGAGACACCAATCTGCCTTGCAGTAGAAGTACTTTGGATGAAACTTCACAGTCCACCTGACTAGTACTGCATAGAACAAATCACAGCCAGTCAGTAAGCAGAGCTTCCGCTCTTGTTGGACCATTAGAAACTGTCCAGCTCTCTTCAGCCTGCTTCTGCAGCATCACCAGTAGATTTTTGTACTACACCCAATGCCAGATTGGGAAAGCATTTCTTTGGGTGACCCTGCTAACTGCTAGGATGAATGTATGGTCACATGTACAGGCTACTTGTAAACAGCACAAAACAGAAGCTGATGTGTGGTTATTCTTTTTAAGAGAATTATAAATACTGTAATATATAATTTTATTTTATTGGCATGCCTTTTTGTAAATATAAATTATGAACTTATTAAATAGGAAATGGCTTCTGGCTTATGCCATTGTCATGTTTATTTTTATTTTTTATACTTTTTTTTTCTTCTTAGAACTTAGATGCTGTCAGCCAATGTACATCCCCAAACCAGACAGACAGACAAAAAATTTTTTATTGCTAATGGTCTTTTCCAAAACAATAAAAAAAATATATTTTTGTTCCAATGTGCAATAAATTCTAACCACTTCTATGCAAGATTTGGCTAAACGTAATTGTTCTTAGGTCTTGAGATGGGCAAGAGAGCTGTTAAGATCCCACTAGGTACACCAAGTGCTCACGCTAGTGACGTCCTCAAGTTACGAGGGCATGCTAATGAGATTTTTCTGAGACCTGACCTTTTTTCCTCTCCCAGCTCCCACTCCCAGCCCAGCAGGCTATCTCCTCAGTGACACATGGCCCTTGGTATCCGACACCCGTCAGCCAGCTTCACAGGAAAGAAGCCACCTCCGCTGTATTTGAAGTTTCACTTTTCTTTTAACTTTCCCCACTTTCTTATCCCTCCCCCACTTAGCCCTCCATCCGCTCGCTCACTCACTGTCTCACTCACCCATCCTGCTATCTTTGGTAGTAAATGACACCATCACCAGCAGTTTACACCCGCAGTTAACAGGCATTGAACGGAAAGATCAGTGACGAGGTTTTGTACATCTTCACTGAGTGGGTAAGTGGCAACGCTTTGCCAGATATTAGCGAAGCCAATCAAAAAGCAGCAGCAGCCACAGTATCACTGCACATAATATATATATAGAGATATATAAATATAATATAAATATTTATTTTTTGTAGCCAGGTCCTTGGTGCAGTATTTATACTCCACAATCCACCTTTTAAAAAAGGACAAAAAGACGTGTGATGCTGTTAATTTAAATTGCAGAGCCAAAGCCACTGAGCAGCAGCTGACATGGTTGCTGGTTTGTGTGTGAAAAACACTTTTCCCCCTCTTCTGTCCTTAACCTCCTTGTTGCTTAGAATGAGGAGATGCCGTAATTTAAAGCAGAGGGTGAAAGCAGGAAAAACTTCCCAAGTCAACATGACCTCTCACTTCTTCCCAAATGAGCCAATTTTGGCATCAAAAGTTGACTGGGTAGAAAAACAAACAAACAAACAAAAACGGAAACTCCCAAAGTCCCTGGCGCAACAGTGCCCAGAGTTTTTCTTTTTCGCCGCAACCAGTGTAAACCTATAAAAGACCCATAGTAAAAATCAGTGTATTAGTGGATGCATGGAGGCCAGTGCTGCCCTGCGTGAGACATGATCAAAGTACATCACTACTATAAGCCAAAAGGAAACAAAATAAAAACGACCCTTTTTACCGAACAAGGGAAGCCTGTCTTGGTGTGTGTTTGTTGCTTGACTATCCCAATTCTTGAGTCCTGGGAGGGGTTTGGGAATTGGGACCTTAGCACACATTTGGGTAAAGGAGGGGAATAGGTGGGAGAGAAATCAGAGAATCTCTCGCAAAGTTCTGGCTGAGAAGTAGAGATTGGAGAGAAAGCAAGGTCCTGACCCCCCCATCCCCAACCACCCATTGCATGTAGCATTCCCTCCCTATCAGGCCAGTGCTCAGAGGCCCATTACAACTCTTCCTCACCTAAAGCACCTGGCAGAGCCCCCAAAACGGCATCAGCCAACCCAGCTGGACTGGCCTTATTTCTGCTGTTTCCATCAATATGTTAAGAAAAAAAAATAACCCCATGCCCTGAAGCAAGGGCAAGCACGATGCCCAACAGCCTCCACTCTGCTAGCTAACGCCGGGCCCTGCCCTCCATCGCCCCCCACAGGCAGACGAGCAGACTAGGGCTGGCTGGTCTCCTTCACATTTGCATAGGGGAGGGCAGCAGCCTCCCCTTCCTTCTCTCCCTGCTCCCTTTGGGGACATCCCACTTCTAGGCCATGTCTCCTGGTCCAGGAACACTCTCTCAGGAGGATCTTGAAGTGCCCACTCTGGTCCGCTCCAGTAGCTCCACTCTGGAGAGAGATGGCTGGTAGGTCAGTCCCCACCCTCCTGCTGTGGCCCCCAGCCTCCAGGCCTGCTATGGAGGTGAGATTGCCATGGGTTAGGACTTTGTGACTTGAGTCCTGGGCATCTTCTGTAATGATGCCTCTTTCTTTTCTCAGATGTTGCCCAAAGTTTTGCAAAAAGCTTCGTTCATTTTCAGGTACCCCCCACCCCCTAAAGAATCGGCTGCGGCTTGCCAGCCGGGGGGACATCAGGAGAGAAGAGGAAGTCTGGGTTGGGAGGGACCGAGGTTTGCACCAGAGTCTGTGTTGTTCAGCTCTGTGCTTCTTGGATCCCCTTTCCAAGATGACGAAGATTTTCTCTGTTAAAACTCTCCTGAAGCACCCCCTGCCCTTGCCCCCACTGCTTTTGCTGTACATAGAGGCTAAGTGGGGTGGGGTGGGCGGGTGTGCACGTGTGGTGTGTGTGTGTGAAGAATGTATATAGGTAAAGGGGAGCGGGGTCCAGTGGTTCCAGAAAAGGGGCAGAACTCCTGTTCTAGCCCTAGTGTGACCGCTGGCTCGCTGTGTGGCCTTGGGCAAGTCACTTAGCCTCTCTGTGCCTCAGTTTCCCCATCTGTAAAATGGGGATAATAATACTGACCTACCTCACAGGGGTGTTGTGAGGCTTTAACTAAATGTTTTGTAAAGCGTTTCGAGATACAGAGGCAAAGGCGCTAGGGAAGGGCAAAGTATTATTTGGACTTAAGGAAGATGAAATGGTACCATAAATGCTGCTATTCTGAGAGCCATTTTAAACTGCACTGCTCCAACCACCCCCGCTTCTCATCACCAGGACAGCAGGTCGAGAAAATGTCTTTCCTTTCACTTGCTTCTGGGGTTTGTGATGATTCTAGACACTTAATTTCTTTCCCTTGCTGTATCTCCTTCCCTCACCCCTTCAACTTGTTCCCTGTTCTGTTTATGCGGAAATGGCAGAAATGCTTGAGAAATGAGAATGTATAAGTGGATTGGAAGTTTATAGTCTGAAATTTCAATTTTACTTTGTACTGTACATCTTTTTACTTTAGAATTTGCAATAAAGGGTTACGTCAATCTTGTTTTCAACTCTCTTCTTGGATTGGCCTGTCATTCTGTCATTGCTCACACCACAGGCCCTCGGCCCGGCTGGGCAGAGAGTCGACACGCTTCCCGCTTCCCTCGCAGGCCCGCCCCTACAGCCCTCCTTTGCCTGCACCTGCTGTTGGGCTCACCCTGGCTCATTGCCTAGACAGGGCCCTGAGCGCCCCAGCCCCGCAGAGGTGGGTAGGAAACGTTCCCGACTCGAGAGAGAACTTCAGGAGGCCTTGTCTGGGCAGCGAGGGCACTGTGGAGGCAGCAAGCCCCCGCAGGTGGACACGGCTCTCACCATGCTGCCCCCTGCACGATCCAGCAAGGCCTCACAGTAAACGCGAGGAGAGGTGCACATCCACTCTGGTGCCATCGAACTTCTCCCGCTCCCTTACTGCGCACACTGTTCCCTCTGGAGCTCAGACTCTCAGGTGGCTCTGAGGTCTAAACCTGGTGGGGATATATGTATCTCTATCTGTAGTATCTTCATCATCCCAGGTGGCTCTGGGTATAACAAATTATGTAATTGCTTGGCCTAGGGCCTGGCACACAGTTGATGCTCAATAAGTAGTAGCTTTTTGTTTTTTTAGAGAAAGATTTTTTTTGCTATAGGACGCGTATACTCACTGGAGAGACAGAGAGAAAAAGAGAAGTCTCACACACACACACACACCCAGTGGGCACGCACGCGTGTGCCTAGCGTGTTCAAGCCGCTGGGTCCAAAACTCAAACCGCAGTGGACTACGTGGGAGTCCAGCGACATAGCCATTACACCATCTGCTGGTCCCAGTAGCAGCTCTTAGCAGAAGGACAATCTCAAGAACTGAAAGCTGACAAGAATGGGGAGCAGGTAGACTTTCTAGCTCCCTCCCTGAGAGACTGGAACCAGAACCCCATCTGTTCCATTGGTGCCCCAATGGCTATGCCACTCCTTTCCAAGAAACTAACAAACTGCTCCCTCCTTTGATTTCGCATCTTTTATAATGCGTCCCAGGCAGCCCCAGACGGTGCTCCTGTGTTACAGCTGAGGGCGCTGAGGATAGGGCGAGTCTGGCCCTGCAGCCCAGGTCGAGGGGACCTAAGTGTCCGGGGATTCGAGCTGCTCTTCCGCCAGAAGCAAAGTTGTTTCCCAGGAGCCGCGCGCCTCGGGCTTGAGTCCGGGAGCGGCTTGACGCGCCTGGTCGCCGTCGCCGCCCGTGACCCACAGCGTGAGCAGGGTGAGCAGCGCCCCGGTGCCCAGAGCCCCCATGAAGCCGGCGAGAAGCCCAACCGCCAGCGGCTCGGCCCAGCCGGCGGGGCTCCGCTCGTACGGGGGCTGGGGCAGGCGCTCCACGATCAGCTCCAGCTGGTCCCAGTTGAGCTCGGGGTCCGAAGCGCGCCGGGGACGCGGGGCGGGGACGGGGACCCGGGCTGGAGGCGCGGGAAGTTGGGCGGCGCCGGGCGGCGGCAGGTAGCGCTGCCCGAACTTGCGCAGCTGCCAGCTGGTCCCAGTTGAGCTCGGGGTCCGAAGCGCGCCGGGGACGCGGGGCGGGGACGGGGACCCGGGCTGGAGGCGCGGGAAGTTGGGCGGCGCCGGGCGGCGGCAGGTAGCGCTGCCCGAACTTGCGCAGCTGCAGCGTCGCCTGCTGGTGGAGGTTCTTGCCC